TTGCTAAAGCAAGAGCAACTCCAGCTAGCTAAGGCTAGCTTTCGTGAATATTCACTGAAAACATCTGAACAAATTCTGAAAGCCATCTAAGACCGGAGGGGTTCTCCCTATGAACATTCACACAGTGTTACACTCCCTAGAACAGTCGTGGAAATGGAACTTGGCCCCCTGCATGACAATTGTTCCACGACAAACAGGTGGTTCTTTCACTTTCATGATGATTCCAGGAAGTGTAGCTGAGCCATATCCCAAAGACTTTAGCCATGACCAGCTTCGGTCATTCAGCGAGTTGCTACCGTTCTCTCTTGTGCTCCTGCCTGCCGGTCTCTGTCGTTCCACCGAGCGAAACCCCCGATCGGTACCTGGTGCAAGAGCCCCAGCCGTCGCTTCGCGATGGCTTCCGCAAAATCCACATCCCGGGCCTCAGCGTGCGCTAGGCGCTATAGTTACCGCGGAAGAAGGGACGGACCACGTGTGCGTTTGAGTATGAATAGAGACTCCCTGGCAGGTGGGTGGCATCTGAATTCAGTTGATTTGCCGGTTCCTGATGTTGTTTTTGCCGCTTCGTTGCGAAAGAACAAAGAGACAGAAAGAAAGACTGGCCCAGTGGGTAGACTGGTCTGTTTCCGTTTCGAAGCCAGGGAGCCACACGACCTCAATACACACCCATCACGTTCACACACTCATGTTGGAAGAGGAGTCTACAGGGTCTTGTATAGGGTTTGATGTGTGCTCAGCCTATGCTGGGATGTAAAGGGACTTGTTTCTTTGGCGCACGAAGTCATATTATGATCAAGCTACTTGGAGAGTTGGAGGTGCATCCTTGCTTGAAGTTAGAGAAAGGGTATAAAGTACCCATTTTAGCGGAGATATACGTGGCCCTGCAGGAGCTCCAGGGTATGTTTGGAAAAATGTTTGACATTGATATTTGTGAGACTTTCTGAGTCCCTAGGGCACCAAGCACTTCCTCAGAAGGTGTTTGGGCTGGGTTTGAGGGGGTCCAAACACCTTCTGAGGAAGTACTTGGAGACCTAGGGAGTGCAGAAACAACTTCCAAAACACCTCCAGCTCCAGCTGCAAGCAGGAAGCTTTTTTCCTCACAGTGGATTTGGAACTATTCAACCATCCTCCGTGAAAAATGGTTGGGATCCCTTTGATAGAGAACTGATACTATAGTTACTAGAACTGATGTATATATCAAATCGGTCGCAAGAGATCACCTCATTCTACTTTAGGTGCCTCTCCATCCCGGCTGTGGGTCATGGCATCTGTGCACCCGACCCCGGGTCAACCTACGGACGTTCTGGGCACCCTGGTTGAACCATGGCATCGCACCCAAACAGGTTCCATCTTTTTCGGTGTCAAACGACCGGTGAATCCAAGTGGCTCCGTCCACCGACCGCGCCTTTGCTGTCTGAGACCGAGCCGTCTGAAGACGTCCGAAGACCGAGGGGTGCACCAAGGAGCTTCGAACTGCCGCACGGCCCGGAGCACCGCGGCATAGAAGACGACATCCAGCTTCCTGACTGCTGATCCGAGTGCAGTGAATGCCGCCAAGAACTGACCGACACGCACGACAAATACCATGAACCAGCACCACGGAAGGGTGGTTTATCCTCATGTTCCCTCACTATCTATTGTCCTTCCAGCAACCACCCTTTTCGGTGGTGCTGGACAATCGCATTCTTGAAGATCTTGCATTGAAGGGGACCCTGGAGTCTATGATGCTTTGCTAACCAAAAAAACTTTGCCAGGCTTCTGTTTGGATTTCTTCCTTCCAGACAAGGTCCCCCCATTGGGGGAAGTCAATGGAAACCAGTACTTTGACCAATCTGAGCTGCTCATACTTCACCTTCACTGCTCGCTCCCGCAGTAGTCCATCCAGCCAGCTCGTGTCGATGGTGTTCAAGCGGAAGGCCTGTCGTCCACGACGTCCACTTCAGGGTCTGTCGATGACGACAGACCTGCCCGCCCCCCCGTCCACCATGACACGGACGTGACTTATTGAATATCAATGACTGCGATATTGGCATACATTGGGAGTGGCTGACAAGGAGTCCATGTAGCTATGGCACATATGGCCAGTAACCTGGGAAGCTTTTTCGCACACCACTAAAGCGGCCGGCGAAAGACAGTCGGATTGAGCTGAGACATGCAGTTCGGAAGCCGAGACATGCAGCGGACACGAAGACCAACGGAACCCACTCAAATCAGGTCATTGATCCGCTAGCCTATAGCATTGCCGGTCATCCGAATGCCCGCAGACCGCAGGCAGTAACGATCATCTCCAAGCGTGCACAGCTGCGGAAAAACAACAATCAATCTTCTTTCTCCATGCGATCTTTATTGACCTACATCTTCTTCACACCTTTCAAGCGATCATTCTGTTACCTGTCAGGTCTCACCCCAAACCGGCAGCCCTTATCTCTCACCGGTCCTCACCGGTTCATCGGACCGGCGCCACCGATCCGATCCCGCTCGCGGAGTGACCAGCCTTCGTTCCCAAGAGTTCCACCAAATACCTCCGCGCGCGAGAGGCGCGCTACGCGACGCCCGGGAGGTTCGACGGTTCCCCGGGACGTGAAGCAGGCGGTTCCTGGGTTCGACGGGACCCGCGCTATACGTATGATGGCACGTGACAAGGCTATGACAAGATCAATTTATATACCCGAAAGGCACAAGGTATCAAAAAGTGGTGAATGTCTGACCTGAATTCCTGGGCAAAAGGATTCAAATAGACACATCCTCCAACGCAGTAATTCATGGGAGTGCCGATGGGGCGGGCCCTATTCATGGCCAATTTACATTGCCTGGTAGGCTACTAGACCCACTTTCCACCAGCAGAACTGGACCTTGCCTTCAAGGCGAGCAAACAGTGTTAGAACATTAGAACCGGGCAATGGTGCCATCGATAAACTTCTTCAATCCATCAACATCTCCTGGAGATAACCGCGAAGAAGTCGGTCGAACAAGGTCTTCGCTGTTCGTTCAACACTTCAACGGCTCATTGACCTGATTTTGTGGTCTCAAATTGACACCATTGAACCCCGACGATCCTCAGTTCTTGAAACGCAGTTCAACAGTTCTATCCAATAAGCGGGTGATTGCCATGACATCGCATAACCCCTTTACGCAAACCACCACCCAGACTGGAATATGCATGGCTATGCACCCCAACTCTCTCTAGTGATGGTCCCATGTTTGAACCAACATCCCATGCTGACGACGACAAGCCAAGACTTTTGCGCGCCCAGGGGACTCGATTGGCGTACGGATTTCGCCCACCACCTCGAGGTTCTTCAGGGCCAAGACCTACAGGGGTCAATTGATGGTCAATTGAATTGGTGGAAGGTGAAAAATGATGAAAAAATGGACAGGAAACCTAGTGTTCAAATATGTTCAAATGCTTTCAGCTCCCATGCATCAATGGAGGGCCCGATTCTTCTCTTTCACCGATTCTGGGAGCGCTCCTTTCAAAGGATGGCTCAGCATCCCACTTCCGGGTGCGGGCGACCCGGGCCCGTGGGGTTTGGAGCACGGCCCGGGGACGTGCGTGAAAGCGAGAATCCCGTGACTTCGGGTCATCCTTTACTCAAAGCAAGGCCTGCAAGGCCTTAAAAACGAAGCCTTTCCACTCGTTTCACCATGTTTGACCCGAAGACAAATCCCTAGGAATCCACATACTCAGAGGTACGGTGATGTGTTCGACACTGTTATGTAGGTGCCAGGAGGGTCCAGCTGTACTTTCTGAGAAGGTACTTGGATCCTTAGGGAATAAAGATCTAAAATATAGGGCTCCTCCCCCAACCTCCGTTTTGGTGGTTCGGTTGGGGGTGGGTTGGGCAGGTCTAGCTTCTGAGGATGTGGTTGGAGCATGTTGGAGCCCCAGGGCGACTACACCCACTTTAACTCCTCGACAGGGTGACTTCGTAGGAGCCTGCTGAGGGCAATAATCATAGATGCCTCCCCAGAAGCTGTCCATGTCCATACGTCAAGTGGGTCTAAACCCCTTTGGTGGAGAACAAGAACCCATCATGCTCAGCTGGAGCCTGTGCACTCGGAGTACGTATGCAAGTGTTTTAAGCCGAGCCATATTTGCACCATTTTGCACCCATCGTCACCGGAGGTTGTTGAGATTTGTCCTTTTCTAAATCCCACTTATGGCAAGGATGTTTGCTCCACATTCATGGCGCTCAGCACTCCCATGGATATAAAATGTGCATCCTTTGTAGCACTTATTTCTGGCGAACCATGGTTTGGAGCACTTATTGGAAGTTTGAGCGTTAATTGAGGGTATGTACACTTTTCAGGACATATGAGCGCTTTTTGGTGATGTAAATTCTAAAGCCTACTGGTTCTTGACCAGTGTCCTTATCAACCCTTGTGGGCCTTTGGGGGCCCTATGGACCGGGTGGAAATCCTATATGACCTCCTACTAGTAGTATGTGCAAATGAAACCACAAAGGTTTGGTTCCAACCTTCTGGGCGTGCTTTACAACAATTTTTCCAAAAAGGGTGCCCGCAACTTGGGCGCAAATTCCCGCAACCCGGGCGCAAATTCCCGCAACCCGGGCGCAATTTTAAAAAGTGGCGGATTGTTGTTTTACTTACTGTAAATATTTTATGTTGATACTGATGATCAAAGAAAGGGGTTGCTGGCTGCCGCTCGTAGTGTGTGAGCGTGTGTTGTGTGTGCATGGGATGGGTGCCAGCATGTGGCAGGGGAATGGACTTGAAGACCACATAAGGTGGAATGAAGCTACATCTGACTTTCCAGTGGTACGCTTTTTCAAGGCATGAACACTTTTTTTGATGATGTGCAGTTTTTTTTTCTGTCACTTTTTTCTGCTACGACGGAGGGTTCAGGGAAGGATGTTTTTCTGGAGGGTCACCCCAAAATACACCAAATCATCCCCCACGAACCAAACACCAACCTCTCCATCCTCCGCTTCTCCCACCCTCTGAGCCAACCTCCTCGCTCCGCACTCCGTCGCACCGAGGCGCCAAGGTCTTCCGTGCTTCCTCCCGGTCGCCCCCGCGGGCGAAGAGATGGCCGAACTGGCTGTCCGCGAACTCGTGGATCGCCGCGTGGGTCCAAACCTACGCCGTGGTGTGGGCGCGTGGTGTGGCGCGCCAAGGCGCGGTGGGGGGGGGAGAAGGAGAAAAAAGCAGCAAAAAGGCCACGACTTCGAGTGAATCAGAGTCGAGACCAAGGAATTGTTGGGGGATCTGGGCCAAGTCGCGCTGAAGTAGCCCCAGCAAGCCACAGAGCTTTGGAATTTGATCCGATCAATCCTCAGTGGTGCGGGTTTATCATAGTTGACCGGTCTTTTACATCTTCACGGCAAATCCTCAAGGTGAAGTCACTACTAGAGGTGTTAGGACAAGTGACAAGAATGACCCCCCATTACAGCCCTCTTTCCAAACCAGAAACAGCCCTCCCGACGGCCTCAGCGGATTGCCAATTGCCATGGGACGTTGAAGTACCAGACTCATACGATTTCAGGTGTGGGATTCCCGATGGCGAAGCCATGTCCTGGAAACAAACCCACAGCCTTCCTGGTCCATTTAGGTGTTCGTGGCACCACTGAAGCTCTCCGCCAAAGGCTCTTCCCACTGGTGGGCTTGAAGCTATCATCTGGATTCTCCGCAGTGATGCGACTGGCAATGCAGTGCACCTAGAAAGTCGAGGGAGAATCCCCGGCGCCAAGCAACATTCGTGGGGGGTCAAGACATCTGCTGAAAAAAATCAATCACATGAAGCATCAAGAAATCATCTTGCGCCAGATCCAGAACAAAAAGCCCACACACACACACAACATCACACAACCAAAGCCCTGAAAATAAGGGAAGGCGAGTGTCTATCAATAGCCCAGATTCAGAGGTTCATAGGGTGGAACGCCCAAGATTCAGGGTCGGAGAAGGTGCCGAAGGTGCCTTGGGATAGACGTAGTCATCCTTCATGAAGTCGATCTTGGAAGTATCCCAGCTGCTCTTGCCTCGGGCGAATCGCCCCTGAAAACAAGACCCCACTGCAGGATTCCTGCACCAAGTGTGTTCCTGCACTTGGTCCTGAAAACACCTTTGCACTCTTCAGTTACAAAATTTGCATATCATATCATATCATATTTCATGCAAAGAAATGAGATGGAACAGGACCATAAACCACAAGTTCACTGGGACGTGCTACTCTCGCCATTCACTCCCTTATTTTCTTGCCCAGTACAATCCCTACACAGAAAAACAAACAAACACATCATCCACCAAAACGCACATCCTACCACGGTAAACGCCAACGTGTTCATCCTTTTTCCGCCCAGGACACCATAAAAGCTGCGCACTTGTGGCATTCGATCCAATGGGATGCCCATGGCCACTTGCAGCTGCGTGGCCGGCAGGTTCCTCGAGGCTACCCGGTCGAGTTCGGACCTTCAACGAGGACGGTGGGGGTTGGGCAGGCATCTGCTGGCCGTCGCACCCCCCCCCCGGGAGGAAGGCTTCGTGAAAAGCGTCTCCCCAAACGAGAGAAGAACGAGTTCAGCCGGAGGCGCACTCCAGTGATGGCTTCCGTCACGGGATGTTCCACTTGTAAGCGTGGATTGAGCTCCAGGAAGTAGAACTGATTCGTCGTGGCGTTGTACAAATACTCGATGGTCCCAGCACCTGAAAAGCGTGAACAACTGTAGGACAAGGCATGGTGGATCACATGGGGGTTGACTATGACCATGCCTTGGGTATATCCCATGACCAGGGCCCAGTGGATGATGATGGTTAAAGGCCTCTCTCTAAAATGGTGATTGACTGTTACAGGATGTTACAGGTAATGGGACAGACCCTAACCATGCCCAAATTTCAGGGCGTCCTTCCGGCAAAACCGCGAACTCCAACACATGGTCAATCACTGAAATCTGAGACGGTTCCAAGTTCCTCAGACCTCGAGTCAGGCTCTTTCTCAGGATAGACAAACTGCACTCTAATTAGTATGTCAAACACAAACCTTGGAGACATATACCACCCATATATGAGACAGTTGGAGGGAACATGTCGTCTTAAGCTCTGATCATGTGTTTCCAAAAAGTCAGCTGCACATCGTCATGCACTTGTTACCACGCGAAGCCCTGGGGCGAATCAGTGTATCGCTTTGAGCCCTGGGTCTGCTGTGTTCAGCTTGGGCACCGATATAGCCGATGCTGGCCGTCAAGCGTTGCGCCGCTCGTTCCATCTCCTGACCAGTTTCGCGTCGGTCGAAGGTGTGGTTTGCACGTTTGCACATGTATAGACAGTTGTTGCATGTCACCGGATTGCCAGGAGGATCCCTTGTATAGTATTATCTGTCACCTCCATAATATTCCACGCTTTGAATGCCAATAATTCCAACTTCACATGCTTCAAGTTTCAAGTTCAACTTGAGGCCAGAGGGGGTGAACGAAAGCTAGCCGGGCTTCCGGTGGTCTGCTGCTGGTGCTGCTGGTGGTGCTGCTGCTGCTGCTGCCGCTGCTGCGCTGGGCGCTGCTGCGCTGGGTGCTC